CCCCAAAACCCCAAAACCCCAAAACCCCAAAACCCCGAAGGTGACTTAGCAGTTTGAAAATGGGTCGTTAAAATTAATTATCACCTTTAGCACTAATGGAGTGTGATTTGTTCTCTGAGCCAAGCATATCACTTGAAGAACTAATTTGGTTTGATCCACTTCCAGGCTGACTGTTCCCAATTAATGACCCATCTTCTTGACCTCTTGATAATGTATTTCACATTGGTCAAGCTAGATTTCTTGTACTTGAGATCATATTGTACCAGCTCTGAAGACAATGGGAATGGAACATATGAAGACACTCAGCAGTAATATGGACGTTATCATCATCAAAGAACTTCAAGTTGCATATAATACATCTCTCAACCTTATAATTCTTTGGCATGGTATCATACCTGCCTGATGTCATATTATACATGAATTTTTCAACGTATTCTTCATTTTCATCTTGAATTTGCTGGAGCCTTATCTCTTGGTTTCCTCTTTTTCCTCCCAATCAGGTTCTGGAATTGCGCCAAAGAGCAAAGGTCAGCACAGATATCAAAATGAATATTACTAGATCATTACAGATTTGAACTTACTGATGATAACCAGGATGAAGGAAATAGCTTCAACTAGAAAAGTTTAGAAATAAATTTACCTAATCTTTTGTTGTTCGTTAAAACATTAGGGGTTCCAGAATCTATTCCACTCTGAACAACCACAATCGTGTAGGAAGGGGATGTGGATAATATTTTAGTTCTTATAGTTACAGAGGTGACGTTAGCATTGATTGTAGTGTTGTAGTTACTTGAAGTGCATGTCCCAATACTATTGCTGGCGATAGTAGTGGTCCCATTACTCTGAACATATTGAATAACCATTTCTTCATCTCTATTCGTAGATCTTGTTGCTGTTATTTCTACACTCTTGCCTTGCTCAATCAAAATTATCCACTCACAAATGTGGTTTGCTGATGTACCTGATTTTGTAGAAAGCTCCAGAGTCTCCCCTTGGATTGAAGACAGAGTAATATTCCCACTCTCTACAGCACTATTACACTGAGCATAATTAGATGCTTGGTTATAGGAGTCCTATAAATAATTAGAAACATCAATATATGACCTTAGAATATTGATCCTTTTCATAGAGCAGTTTTTGAGTATTTTTAACTAGAATATTTCACTTACAGTAAGCAAACCGTTAGATCTGTCATCTGTTCATCCTCCTTGTTGCCAAACACAGGCAGAATTAGTAAAACAGGGAGCTCAGGTATTATAAGTGACGCTATTGCATGCTTGTCCAAATGTAAACTTTACCAATGTGAGAAGATAGAGCACTCTTAGTCATGGATGAAACCAAGCTGCCATTTTTTATAAAATTATGAATATTCTGACAATCTTTTGATATTTATAGGGGTTTTGGGGTTTTGGGGTTTTGGGGTTTTGGGGTTTTGGGGTTTTGGGG